TTAAAATTTCATCTCCTTGTCAAAAATCAGTTGACCATAGGTAGATGGGTTGATTTCCAGGTTCTCCATTCTATCCCATTGATCTTTGTGTCTATCATTGACCATCACGTCAGTGTAGTAGGATTTTAAATCAGAGAGTGGTACTGGAACAATGATAGACACAAAGATCAATGGGATAGAATGGAGAACCTGGAAATCAACCTATCTACCTATGGTCAACTGATTTTTGACAAGGAGATGAAATTAGTTAAACAAATGGTGTTGGCAAAATTGGAAAACTACCTGCAGAAAACTCAAGCAAGATCCACACCTTACACAAAAACCAACTCAAAAGTGGATCATGAACCTAGGACTAGTACCAAGGACTATAAACTTCATTAAAGAAAAGCTTGGAAGAACTCTAGAACTCCTACTCCACAACATAAATAGTCTTCCAAAGCATCCTAAAAAATCTACAACCAGGATAGGATAAAATAGATGAATGGGACCTTCTAAGAATCAAATCCCTATGCACATCCAAAAACTTCTCCAACAGTATAAAAAGGGAAGCCACAGACTGGAAAAAAGTATTTGGTAATGACATGTCAGACAAGGGACCTATATCTAGAATTTATAAAATACTTGAACACCACAACAAGATAAAGGTAAACAAACCAATTGAAAAATGGGCACAGGATATGAACAGACACTTCACCAAGGAAGACATCCAGATGGCCAACAAGCACATGAAGAAATGTTCAAAATCCCTAGCTCTGAGAGAGATGCAAATCAAAACAACTATGAGATATCATCTCACCCCAGTCAGAATAGCAAAATTTAACAGAACAGCAAACAACAAATGCTGGCGAGGTTGTGGAGAAACTGGAACCCTTATTCACTATTGGTGGGAGTGTAAAATGATCCAACCACTGTGGAAGGCAGTATGGTGCTTTCTCAAAAAGTTGGAAATAGAAATACCATTTGACCCAGCAATTCCACTACTGGAAATATACCCCAAAGAAACCATAAGCACCACCCAAGCAGATATATGCACACCCATGTTTATTGCGGCTTTGTTCACAATAGCAAAGAGTTGGAAACAACCCAAGTGCCCATCAGCAAACAAATGGATAGAGAAGCTCTGGTATATTCACACAATGGAATACTGTGCTGCATTGAAAAACAAGGAACTAATGAAATATTATTCAAAATGGATGACCTTGGAGGACATTATGCTGAGTGAAATATCTCAGTCACAAAAGGAAAAATACTGCATAGTGCTACTATTGTAAAACAGGACTGACACTGAGGTCGAAGAAAGAATGAGAAAGAGGGGATAAATAATGTATACTGCATTGAAACAGATGAGGGAGAGAACTGTTTAAAAGGAATATATGATTAGGTATTATTGTCATGACAGGAGTCCAGAATGACATCTGCATAGTGGAGTGGACTTGAGGGGAGGGATTGTATAATGAAAGAATTTTACTTTTGAAAGAGAAGATCAAACTGGAGCGGGCTGGGGGGAGGGGAAGGGTGGGTAGGGAGAAAAGTATAAAAAAAAGTTAAAGTTTTTGCTTTCTCATTATTTATACACAATTTCCATTATATTTATAATGCTTGGGTTAGCAAAACTATTAAAATCTGTGGTTTTAATTACTTTCGGGGAAACTTATACTGCTATCTCAGTTATTCAGCCTTTATTTTCATCCCTTATTGCTTTGTTCTTTGTTATTTTAAAATATCTTTTTCTTGTAATGCTTCAGTTTATGTAGTTTATATCTATACCTGATTTTGTGTTTGCTGATTTTAAACAGAATGAGTAGACGACCATTGTTGTTATTAGGTGCTTTAGGGTCAGCTCTAACTCATAGCAGCCTTCTGTACCGAAAAATGAAAAATTGCTTGATCAGAACCGACCTCACAATATCCTCTGCAACGTGGCAACCTCTTTGCTGTTCCTTCTAGTTGAGGATCATGCTCTCTTTCAGAGACTTTTCCAAACATGATGTTCTTAATCTAGTGACTTACTGCACTGGGTACATTTGCCAAGGACCTCTTGAAAAGAGCAAATCTATTACTTTAAAGACTTAGGCGTGGCTGCCCAAGCATGATATTTTACTTGTTTTATGTGCATGTGAGAGTAGATAAAGAAAATTGAAGAATAATTGATGCTTTTGAATTGTGGTGTTGATGAAGAATATTGAAATACCATGAACTGTTAAAAGAACAAACAAATCTCTTTTGGAAGAAGTGTAGCCAGAGTGAACTAGGCAAATACATTTTGAATAAATGTTTGCATCAAGAGGACAAGTAAGATCTATAGTATACAAAGGATTCTTCTAATCTCAAAAGGGCAAATGGCCTGATGTAACAGTTGGGAAAATAAAAAACCAGTAAACAAAACTGTCGATCCAAATGAGCAATATTGTTGTGTACATGAAACAACATATGAGCAAGAGCCTATGGTGATGAAAGAAGAAGTTCAGGCTGCTTTGAAGGACATGGCCAAAAATAAGGCTCCAGGAATAGATGGT